TCGACTGTCGTTATTTCATTTTAGTATTTTCAATGTACACAGTTTTTACACTTTATTTTATTTTATTATAACATTATAATTATAAAAATATTAATAAAGAGTGCTGTTGTTTTGCTTTTATTTTTATTAATAAAGAGACTGATAGTGCCTATAGTTATATATAAATATATGTTGTTCATTACATGTATAAATAAAAGTTGTTCAGTATTTCAGTATGTTTATTTTTATTTTTACAATGTATATGAATCAAAGTTGAATTCTTTTTTGTTATCATTGTACAGATTTTAATCAAAAAATAACTTATTTTTACTTTTTTTTTAAAGAATAAATATCGAAAGGGAAATAATATCAGTATAGAGCTATAATTTGGATCATTTACAATCATGAGTTTAATTTAAAACTGAAACATATGATCAATATATAAAAACTTATTATATTCCCTGGAAATTCCTAGTGTTGGGAATATTCCCTGGAAATTCCTAGTGTTGGGAATATTCCCTGGAAATTCCTAGTGTTGGGAATATTCCCGGGAAATTCCCCTAACTACGTTCCCGCACTTCACTAAATTCGCACAATAGGCCGTGCGCCGTGTGTGGAAAGATTTATATTATGTAAGTTCGAGTTGTCTCTCCGCGCACAAATGCCCCCGAGTCCGATTACACACATAATGTTGAATACACATTATATATATATATTATGTTCACTTGTTCGACAGTACTATTATATACCTACGATGTCGCACCCGTAAACGAACGTGTCACGTGGTCGAGTCATTATAGCTCAAGGCCTTTAATAAAGGCGGCCAATATAATAGTATACCTATATATTATGTACATGATTGTTCTGTACAAACGTTTTTATACATGCAATCCGTTGAACTTCAGTATGCCGGAGTAGCGTAAAACATTTCAGTGTGACTGTTCATAGTCAAACGATTGAAGGGGTTTGACAGGGTTGTAGATATAATAATCGCGCCCCCCTGCCTTGCCACAATCCTTATGTTACCGCTTTCGGATCACATTCGCAAACATTTTTTTTTACGAAGTAGGTACCTACAATACATACCTATAATATTATACTATTAAAGCATATGCAGATAATATATTAGGTTATATACTTACCTACCTATCCACCAACGACTGTCGAGAAATAAATATTAAAATATTTTTTTCTTTATCAATATATGTATTATTACTTGCCGACGTATCAGAAGTTTCTAAAATAATGTATACATAATAACGTTACATAGAATCCAACCGTGTACGTATAATACTTATTAGGTCAAACAATTATAATGTTTAGCCACATTTTATTTTTAGCGAAATCGACGAGACAAACCAACATAGCGCACATCATGATATTATTATTAAGCAATCGTTATATGTATAAGTATGGTGATATTTCAACCTATTATCTATTTAAACAAATTTTATGTCACACTACACTTAACAGGTACACCTGGTAGACTCTTCACAGTACATGACCATGTTACACATACTAATTGATCATACCTATTAAACGCAGCTGTAGGTATATTATATGCCCATGCATATTTAATGACCAAGTTCGGTATATTTATTTGTGGTTTGCTTTCGGTACCTAAGTAAAACACGATTGTTGCCCATTACGTTTGGCCGGTTTGGATCGACAAATAATAATATCTCTATTATATACACATAAGCATTTAAATAATCATGTGTAATTAATTTTTTCTGTAAAAAAAGTACTCATCATCAGTATAGAATCATACTAGCTAGGCTTGTACTCACCTATTTAATTACAATTACATAACTTTTATTATAATATTCAAAATAACCAATAGTTGATAAAAAAAATACTAGCCATACATTGGATCGACACTCCCTAAAATTGTTGGAATTGTTCCCGGGTGTATCAATAACTGTTAAAAATTACAATTTTTTTCAGTAGTAATTTATTTTTTATGCCGAACTTAACAGTCACGTCTCTATATTTATGTATTTTAACAGAAGTATAAGTGTATAATCGTATTATTTTATATATTTCAAAATGTATTATGATATTCTACTATATAACTGCAGGGTAGTAGTTATTAAAAAACAAATAAAGGATGTTAATATACAGAAGTTATAAATTTAGCTTAATTGGTCAAACAACTATTTCTAATAAATAATTATACACAAAATACCCTTTTTTTTCAGTTTTTAAATCGACGACGCCGTGGGAACCGCTTGCATTACTTCCACGATACACAACATACCTACATATCACAATTGAAACCTATTTCTTTTATTTTTTATTTTTGAGCAGTGTAAGTATTTTTTGAAATTGAAATTTACTAAAAAACTTCGAATATTTAAATGATATACAATATTCATTATGTACCATTATTTAGCCTTATCATGCTACCGTTTGCTACCAGTAACTACCAATCATTCGTTCTCACCTTTCTATATTTTATTTTATTTCAGTAAATTTCCACACGTTCCTGGGAATTCGAGGAATACTCGTCACATTACAATGCAGTACAAACAATGCGTATACACTACACCCACATATTTTCTAAGAATTGTTTGTGGTTGATAAAATATCTACCTATTTTCGAGAGTAAAGGCGGTCACCGATGGATTTTTCATTTCAAGCTTGTAGTTGTGTTTGAGAAGTTAGCAAGCTTATGTCAGAAAATTAGAAGAAAATTGTAGCAATCGTTTATGTATATATATTAAAAATATATAAATAGGTATTGGCATATTTTAAAACGGTTTCTATTGTTTTGATTTTTTTTGATTTCTATTTTTTTTTTGACGTTGTTTTGATCGAAATAAATTATGGCCCTGAAATAATTCTATAGGTAGCATAATCCCGGAACATTTATGATTTCAGAAGTAAAAACAATTACCTTTCTGCCTGCTTTATATTCATAAAGCTGTTTCGCAGAACTTTTAATCACCACTCTCGGACCTAACTCAGTAGGTAAATAACAAGTCTACTGGTTCATCTGATATTCTGATCTAGATACCCAAATATATTTGCATAAAAAAAAAAAACAAAGACCACTGACTTTGCATTGTGTAGTACACAAAAATTACAATCGGTAGGTACTATTCGCTTGCAGTGAACTCACAGTCAGTTTTTTCTTATAATATATTTTAAACTGCATACATCTCATTTGAATCGGGTACCTACATTTTGTATGGAAATAATATACACACGCGTTATGAAGGTACGTATAAAATAGACTCATTAAACATAATAGACATGAGAGTTGTAACGTTAAGTTGCTACCTGATCACTGTGCACGCTTTTTTTTTTCCAGGCCATAATTCTATTGACACGGATACGATTTGTACAATAAAAATCGTGGCTCCTGAACATTGATGTCACTTATCATTACGTGGTATATATTTTTTTTTTTACTTTGAATGAGAAGAAGGGGCCGTGATCGCATTATATTTAGTTTCGAATCTAGTGAAAGACTTTTACTTTCATTGCCTATACCATCTACCTGTACGGCTGTACCTGTTATAGTCGACAGTCTCTTCTCTGGTAACATCACATTATACAATGATAATACTATTATAATATATTATAATATCATATTATTCTTTATTCAAGTACAATCGTTCGCCAAATCCGTACATGCGAGGTCAATACTGAAAGTGATATTAGTATTGTTGTTTCGTTAAAATATAATATCGCGTAATGACATATTTTGTAACGATTTATAAAACGAACGAATATAGAAATTACTAATACAATCTGAGGCAAATATAATTAATGTTTTATTTATTTAATTATAACGAATTCGAAAATGAGTAATTATTAATTTCCCTTTACCAAAAATATATTTTTGACCGAAATAATTCTTAAGCTTCTCAAAACATTTGAGAAATTTGTAGTTTGTCAAAATATTAATAAATTATATTTATATAGCAACAACCCGTAATATTGGAATGCTTCGTTATGATTTCAATATTATTTTTTAATTGAAATCTATTTCTGTCCTTTTTGTGGTCAATAATTTTATCTTTGCTCCGAACCGTCTCATACCGGAAATAAAAACTTTTATCTTATTAAAAGTTATTGTAACTTTGCATTTTTTCCACAATCTAATTTGTATAATATTTTTTAGCAATACATCATATAGATTTGAACGATTTTATGGTAGTTATAAATTATAATGTTAATGTGAGCTAGTGGGTAAAGAATAATGCATGCCGTCGGATGAAGTTTGGTGTGAGTATGTCAATATTTTAATATTGTATTATTTTTATATTAGTAGGAACAACCGCCTTTACTCGTATTTTATTAAAAGTATTCAATACAAATAAAAAAATGTATTATATTTTGTATTTTTTGTATTATATTTATTATTTTATTATTAACTGCCATTTAAATGCTTTACGTATTAGTTGGCAGTTGCAGTGTTGCACAATAATTAAGTTATGAAGTGGGGAACAAAAAAATTCAAAACATTGATGTACATATTATTATAATGGTGGTGGTTCTGTGACTTTATTCGCCTATTTAAATGTGAGCTCTCTTTAAAATGTGAGTAAATCTCCCAGAGTGATTACTGATTATTTATATACCTACATATTATTGTACAACTAATATAAGTGCTGTAGAACGGGTAGCGTTATTATGTGTTTCGACAATCGCGAAAACTGTGCCGGTGGTTGCTCATTTCGGCGTATCCGTTTCGAACCACTGCCACACAGAGGCTCCCACTTAAAAAATATATAATATAATGTAATACATCAAATATAATGATAAAAAACGTATAGTAATAGACAAAAATACAGTAACAATGGGAAAACGCGGCGGCCGAAGAAAGTGTTAAACGCTCGCGCGGTCTCGCGCATTATATACCACCGCGAGCACAGCCATCGGCACACGGTAGCGTATATTATTATAGTCGCCTGCAGTTTATTTAATTCTTCCTCCTCCTCCTCCTTCTCCTCCTCCACCGCCGATGACAACGACGACGACTACGACTACGATGATAATAATAATAATAATAATATTGTGCCGAAAACTAAAAAGTCTGCCCGTAGTCATTTGCGAGCGCGTTTGAGCGGTGCGCACGAGTGCGGTTTTGTAGCTACATCCGTTCGGTTTCGTTTATCTGTGTATTTGACAATATTATTATTGTTTATCGTCTATACGCTATTTCACACGCAGTCGGAAAATCGCACTGACAGAATAACAACAATAATAATAATAATATAACAACGGTGCACTACACACGGATATAGGTTCTCGTATGACATTTATGTCAATGAGTGGTCGAGCCAGAAGAACGACAATCACTGGTGATCGCTGCACACATGGACACAAAAGTCGCACAGGAGTTCGCCTTCGATAAGTCGCGATCGTTTATAGTACCCCCGAGTGGGTAACAAACAACAATACATAATATTATTATTAGTGACCCGAACCGGAAGACACACTGCGAGGCTGCAGTATACGTCGACGACCACGAGATAAATACCATAGGTAGCTATATATTGTACATTTGTACCCATATAATATAAACACTTAAGTATAACATAATATCGATATTGTAAAACGGTATCGTATAAAATTATGTCCAGATATGATTTATTGTTTCGTTATAATATTATGCGTATTTCGATGCGGCCCGCGTTGCATTTCCGTCGATCGGATCGCGAGCTGCGTATGATCCATGAGTTTGCTGGCGGTCGATTAGCGGGGCGGACAATACACCCGCGGTCTATAAGTATAAAAACATTAAAAACAAACCGGTTGAATTTATTATGATTTATGTTGTTCATCATTATAATAATATTATAGCGAACGCTTGACATTATTCTACCGGGGTAAGTTTCCACGCGCATACAGTATACCAGGTAGCAAGTGGAAAGCTCAGGTTCGACAAAACCATTACCCACGTAGAGGTAACGTTAAAATAATACTCACCATCGGCTATACTTAAGAGTTATTATGATGACGCGCGTGGGCAGCTCTTCACGATGACGTATAAGTCTGCAGTGGACTTCTGCTCAAGGCCCGTCGACCTGTTTTATCCCCTCGCCCTCGCCCCCACGTCCGTGTCTCCACAGTCCAGTGGGATTTGCATGTTTCTCTTGGAGACCGAAAAGGATTTACGACACGGGCGACAAGAGTTATAGTCTCCAGCAGAGAAGGGGTGCTCGAGTCGCCACCGCAGCTATATATGAATTATATATATATAATTATGTCCGACATTTCCTGGAACCGTCAGACCTCGCCATATTACGATTGCGAATGTCGTGTAGATAATATATAAAAATAGCACAGTGCCGTACATACCTAATATTATCGCATCAGATATACTGCAAAATAAAATATCGTGCATTATAATATTATATTGCGTATTATAATAGCGACAATGTGATAAAATGTTTTTTTTCAATCGGGTGAATTATAAGCAATTACCTGCCAATGTCGGTTAAGAGTTTTCATTTCGAACGTTTTCTATCTTTACAACAAATTTACAACCAAAATTCATTTTTATCCCCGATATCTACGACGATGAGGAAACTCTCCTGCAAGCCTATAAGTTGGCACCCATACAAGCAATATTATTTGTTCGACATCGGAACTATGGTTATCCTACTTTCGTCTAGAGAGCCGTGATTGGAACATGTAAAGAAAATAGTTTTATAATTCAATACAATTTCAATAAACTTTTTCGAGTAAATTTTCTTGTCGAAAAATATACTCTTCAGAGGTATATTCAATAATGGGACACTGCCCAAATGTAGTAATAAATAACACGTTAATCGTTATGTTTGTTGGTAAACACAACTTAAAAATGATAGCTTATGCGTTTACATTCCAACCTTGAATCTATATAGCAATATAATAATAGTATAAATTGTTATGAGAATAATGTAGGTACAGTTACTCGAAATAGCGTGGTATGATTCTATAACCATTGCCCATTAATTTTTCTAATATTATTATTTCGGTATATTAGTAGGTACCTACTAAATTCTACTAAGAATTCATTCTTTGCAGTTTTAGGTGTTTAGCATGCGTATAAATACACTTTTGAGCGACTTGGCAAAAGCAACGTTATATTGTTAATATCGTTAAATGATGGTTGCTGAATTATAATAATGATTATAGGCACACCAACCATGCTCATTGCTCAGCGATCACCCACATTTAAATAGTGAAATTATTCGAATACTAACATTTGGAATTTTAAATTACATACTTAAAGACTATATTTTCATATACCTATGTAACTACTTAAATTTTTTATAGTTGTATACCATTTAAAGAATGTCCAGCGGCGATACAAACTATCTTTCAAACGAGAACTGCGCTTTTTCATTGAAATTGTCTCCATATAATTTTTTTTGAAAATAAATGAATTGAAATTAGAATAATTTGAACGACTATAGTTTCTGAGATATTTCAATGTGTAAACTAAGAATAATAAATTAATAAATAATAATCCTAAGGATTTGTTTAATATAAAAATATAAAATATACCTAAGTAATACTGAATCTAGCATTTATTGTAGGTACTTTGAAATTGTTTACAAATTAATTTTTATACACTTATATTAACTATACACTATGATTTTTAAACCACAATCTAGCCTTTGTTATAGGCACCTATATACTTTACCTATTATTAAGGACTTATCTCATTATAGTATACAAAGCTTAATAAATCCAAAACTACTCGTTTCAATTTAAACACAAATCTATTAACATTAAAAAAAAAAATTATTTGCTTGATAAATTACAGTTAAATGGAGTGTATCTCATCTGGAAAAAAATAACCTTATAACAGGACATTCCTTAAATGACATAGCGATTTAAAAATCTGGATATCTATGAACAAATGCATCATTATAAAGAGAAAAAAGGGGGGTGAGCTTGCTTGTATATAATATTCAGTTTAATACTGTAGACACAGACTAAAACACGGTAAGCTGTATATTTTCCAAGCACCTATCTGTGTCGTGGTCATTGGATCCAAATGACCCGATAGGTGGGTACCACAGAAGCCAAACGCGCAGCTAAGGTCATAGGTCTTTCAAACCAAACGAGAATCGTGTTGTTCCTATATATTATCTGTGAATAATATCTTGTTCGAATCCCACGTGTCGATGAATGTGTGGATTAATTAGACCACGTGGCACGTGGTCACGTGAATCGTATAATATAATTTATATAAGTTAACAAGTAATGAAAATTTTACCTACAGGCTATAACATTAATTTAAATAATTGCATGTTTATACATTATCATTTATTACGTTCCCAAATAATATTGTGACCATATTATGTTGTGATATAATATTTGTAATAAATATTATGATTAGGAATTGGAGTAGGTTTACCTATTATACGTCTTGTGTAGGTAGTGCGGTTGCTTGATGGGAAAATTGCGTTAACATAAATATTAAAACGACTATGGGACTTAATAACCAGGTCATTTAGGCAGTATTTAGGTAGTTTTTCAAAAATACATTTCATTGTTTATTTTAACTGTGTCATTTATTTTTATTATCTTTTGACGAACGCCAAAAAGTAGACATCTATCTTTTACATATTTTGTTTTTTTTGTGTTGTTTACTTACGTGCAAGGTATACGGTCTATAATAATATATTGTTTAGTGTTTAATCACACGAGTGAAATGTAATTTTGTTTTGAACTTGAAGAATACAGTTGATAGTCTTTCGTTATTTTGCAACCTTCCACAAATCATACCGTGGTATTATAAAATAGATGTTAATAAACACAAGAACAATTTAGTAAATATTATGCTTATAGGTTATTATTTTTTCATTTTATTCAAGCAAGGTCGTATGGCCTTAGGATGTATTAGAACAACGGTACCTATACTGTATATGTCGAGTATGATATTAACATAACATGTGGTTTACACTCTAAACTCAGTTTTATGTAGGTATTTAAATGCTAGAATAATATTTAAATAATACAAATTATTTATACATCACAGTATTTGATAGATTTCACAGAGCACAAACTTGTATGCATTAAAATATACCAATATCATTATAATAATATTACATATATAACACATGTTATTTGTTACTAAATATTACATTATATATCTAGCTTTAAAATTCAATTCTTATTATGAACTCAGCTCATCCACATTAAAGCATATATAATTATTGGATGAGCTTGCAAGTTGCAACTAATGTTCATCCGATAATATTTAAGTTATTCTATATATTGTATAATTTGTTTTATGGGTTATTAGCTAAAATGTTTAAATATTTTAATTCTATAGATATGTTTGTACCTAACCTTACTCACCTGTTTTAATTTTACCCACACAAATTGTCTGTATTGGGCAATTAAAACTATCAAAATTCCCACTATTTGATTTGTATTAAATCTAAACGGTCAGTTTTCTTCATTCAGCGATAAATTTGTATTTACATACAATGCGTCCTTATTGTTTTATCTTTAAATAGTAATAAATTACGTAGTATTCCTAGTATATCTACCTACATAAACAACATTCGTGATCAAAATAACAATATTTTATTGCTCTAATGTCATGTTTTCTTGTGGTGTGAATATTAATATATTAGACATATAAATAGTGTACCTAAGAATGATTTTAAATATATTGAGTTCGGATTTCAAAATAAAATATATTAGGTACACAATACATAATAATACATACATTAGGCATGCATATTGCCATATTATTAATAAGTGTCTTTTTAATTTTGACCGAACCGAGGAATGTACTGTAGGTGTATGGAGAATGGAGATAGTTTTTTACACTTTTTATTGAGAACGTTTGTCTGTTTCTTACTCTAATAGATTATAAAGGTACACACACTCTTATTGCTTTGATATGATCTCATAAAATGAACCATCTTATCTTATATAGTTGTATCATGCATGCCTACTTAAATGTTTTTAAATTATTAGGGGGGTTTTTTACAATAATAACAGAGGACTGTGTTTTTGTTTTATAATTAATAATTACATTTTAGTTACACTTTCTTTTAAGACATTGAATAAGTATCAAGTTGTTTGATTGTTAAAAAAAATTGGCATTAAAACTATATTTACGTGTTGTTTTTCTTACTTTAATGTATGGAAATAAAACATTATGTACGATGATATTTTAATCGAATTGTGATAAATATAATATGTTATCGCTTTATTATTTTTTTGTTAGCTTGTATCAATACACACCCATATAATATAATGTATTCAATAATATAATTAATTAGAGTTTAGAAAGTAGATATTCTAAAATTTGTTCACGAAAATTAAAAATTCCAATTTATTTAATGGAAATGTGCGTTGCCGTTTTTTCTTCATTAGTCTTTACTAGTTATTGCAGTTAAGCAATTTTGTAACAAGTTCACTCGTTGAGAAACGTGTTCAACGACACGTGAACATTAGTTTATACAGAAAAAACTCAATTTTCGGTAGGTCTTTGATTTTAGGTTAGTCGATTCGACGTCTTCGAATGGGTTCTATAGGGAAAGCGTTCAAAATCGGTCGAATCATTTTCCGACCGTTTCTAAACCGTAATAATCAAACGTTCTATCGCAAAAAAAATCATTTCCGCAATAGATAGTTTTTTTATTTTTCAATCTCTTTCACGTCTCACACATTTTATTGTGAACTGTTAGTAAAACGCAACGTGTACCTACATTATATTAGTCCATCAAAACTTTTTAACCAGCGACGTTTTACAAACGCTAAAGATATAATATATAAGTGCATATTTCGTTGTAAATTGTATAGTTGCGATCATTATACGTCTTGATAGCACATACTAATTACTAATCATAGTGCACAATATTATCGTGATAAGTATACATGGAAATACATGAATTACATGTCTTTGAAAAACAAAATAAAATAAAAACAATTTGCATAAACACAACAGTTTGATTATTTAAAACACTTATCTGCAGTAACGGCTATCTCGGGGTAACTATAATACCTATTTATAGTATAAATACGAGGTATTCTTAATTTTAACCTGTTGCACATTTACATAAAACACCGATGAACTTTTGCCGCTATCAATATTTTGATTGTTAGTTAATGAATATGTCCATATGGAGATAATAATATTATATCACCACCTATCTACTGTTGGAGTGTTTACATTTATACACGGCACGTCCTGTCATGTATTAAAAACCGTATTTATACAATAAAAGACGTGTTTGGAATATATTTCGTTTACGTTTTGTGTGTATCGCGAATTATTTAGGCATTTGGTATCACTTTTAACAACATAAGTTTTCAATAACCGAGTAAAATAAAAAATCCGCTTGGAGACATGATGATTCATAATACATAGAAGGTAAAAAAGGTACATATAGGTACACAATATGAAGACTCTATGAAATTGTTGCAGCCAATGGCCTCAGATGCCGCTTAAATATCTGGCTCAAATAAAAACAAAAAAGAACTTTGTTTTCTTAATAAAATGTTCAACACTTTTTTGAAAGTGAAGTTGACACATATAGGTATATATTTAAGGGAGTTAACCTTTAGGTACTTATTTTAATTAAATCGTAGAAATGTTGACGAATCTCCAACAAACGATTAATATCTGATATAAAATTTTAACAAAAACTATATTCGAAACATATAATAATATAATGATTCATTATTAATGACACATACATTTAATTTTTAGCGGGTACCTATTTTATTTTTATCTAAAACCACTGTTAATTATAATTTTACCTGAGTTAAATTTTTTGCAATACAATTAATAAAATAAGTATTTTGTGTATAATTTATATGTAGTAAATGTCAAAATGTGACTTAATTGTATGTGTATTGATACCTTTCGTGTTTAATTTTCAGATTGATAAATATTAATATTAAAAACAACGATAACTAATTTCAAATCAAAAGAGTTGCAAGCTATATTATCAATTGTTGATTTAACTATGTAGCTAGCTCGAAGAACTGTCTAATAAACCTTTGACTACGATAATGATTAGTATGTATAAAACGATTAAAATGTATGAATAGACTATAAACGTTAATTTATTTGATAATGCATTATACCTACAGGGCAATGACCTACAATTACATATTGTAAATTTTGAGGACTTCTTCAATAATTATGTAAATAATAAATATATAGCTAGGTATACAATATTTTGATTTAGGCGTTCGTGTAATAAACATAACCCTAGTACTTAATTTAAAATTCATCATCGATATCATGTAATTATTTAGGTGCAGAACATTTTAAATTAAATGTTTTACTTTTTACCTATGTTATTATGTTGACATAATTACTGTTATTAATTTTCAATAAAAAAAAAGTTAATCAACCAATTCTAAAAGAAATATAATACACAACCTTGAGTGTATAATTAATATAATCTGGAGCCTCGCAAAACGAATTTAATCCTCTTCGAATAATGTTATTATTATTTGCAGTCGTTAATAATATAACTTTTATACCTTTGTGAGATTCAAAACTTAAATGCTAACCTAAGTAAATCTTTGTTTATCGGTATAATTGGTTGAGGTATAGACACATTTTAATACATTAGAATTCGTCAATACTGGATACACGACTCCACAAGTATATAATATTACATAGATGCCGATGTTTCCTAAAATGTTCGATACTGTTCATCAGGGTTACTAGAACTATGTTCAGTCGAACCTGTGGGACTACACCCAATCCGCAGCCTTATGGGTAATACGACCTTAAAATGGTTTATTTTAATCTGCCATAATTCGAATTAAATCTTTTTTCGTTGTTATTTTTGGGACGCAACTATAATAGTATGCAGCCTATCGGGATGCATTAAATATTAAAAAGGTAGATGTTGATTTTTGAATTAATGCTATAAGAAAAAGTTTAGAAACCACTAGAGTTTTATATTATACATTATTATATAAAATTGAAATGGAGGTTCAGAGACTATGTTTAAACAAATTCACGACAAGACACTAAAACTACAATAAACTAACGCAACATGGCTTTTCTTGACTTCAATCGATAACTCTTCGAAAATAATAACTTCCTATAAAAGTTAACTGCATTTTAAAACTATTGTATGTTCTAAGAAATATTATAAATAAATTATTTATATTGAAGAATTAATTTCAAATTACCTTCATCAATGGTTTGAATAATTTATACATTACCTAGGTCCCATGTAAGTACATATACCTAATTAATAAGTATATTAGTACAATAATCATCCGAATACATGTGTATACTTAGATGTGTACCTAGATATAAGACATAAGTACTCAAATTTATTTTCAAGTTTAGTATATAAGCTACGAAGGTTTTACAAAATAGGTAGTACCTACCAGCTACTAGTTATCAGGATATAATAAAATTATATTACGCTGCGTTTAACATAAAATTCAGATTTTTAGATAAATATAAATGAATTTGGTAGATTAGATATAAATTTGAATTTTAAATAGGTGTCGTATTTATTATATTACATTTATAATTTCAAGTTTAAGTTATCGTCATTCAAATTCGTGGTCATTGCTATTCACTTGCAGTTTCTATAATATTATAATAAATACATGTCTATGTATATGTATAAAAAATAAAAATAAAACCAAGTCACTGAATGTTTAAAATCAAAACTGCGATTAAGATAAACAATTTACAGCTTACTGTCTTGTGTAAATAATAATTAGTCTATATATAACTAAACTTACATTTATAGCATAGTGCATACATTTTAGGTATATGATCAATACTCATACCATTGTCTGAAAACAGTGAAAACTATTACAATCTAACCCAAATAGAACAACTAAAAACTATTTTCATCAACTCATTTAGATGGTTTTAATCTTTTAACTTGAAATGTATCCACTCTAATTTCCGATATACCTACCATGTTTCAGATATTTAATTTCTATGCCGGGAACGAGTGATCCCCAATCTGAAGAAGAAATGTTAGACGGAATTCAACTTCGCGGACGATCTTTCGACGTTTCAACTGACCACTCAAGATCACCTAGCACAGAAGATGGTTCGTTTTACCACCCAGACAACAATAATGTATCCGAGGACGACGACGAAAATATTAAAAGTGTGTGAATTAAAATCTAGTTAAGATTATATTAATACAGTAGCTTAAAAAATTTAATTTAATTAATTTTTTTTTATTGTTATTATTGTAAATATCCAGCTCCCCGTGGGTTTATGGTAATATTTGGAATTTATTTTGAAAAATATTCTTAACCTTTTGGAAAAGTGAATGTATCTCAAAAATGACATAGGCTGTACTTAAACATTTTTAAAATGAACCCACAACGTTGATATTGCAACATCTGAATATTTTTTTCCTGGAAATTTTCATTCCTAAGGCTTTTGTCCTTTTAATTGAATGCATTATAGAAATTAGTTTTAATTATTTTATTCTTTTACTATACCAAATACTCGTGCCTAAAAACTGTATACATTCTATTAAATTATCAACACATTTTTTAGTATGAAATTTTAAGTTTTCCATTGTAGAATGAATGATTTAACTCAGAACCATTGTTATTTAAATATACATTTTCAAAAGTGCACAATGCGCCATCTTATACACGTATTAAAATAGGCATGTGTAAATTATGTGTATCGATTTAAGTAAGCCATATATGAGTCCATTTAATAAGTTGATTTATCTTTAGTTTATTTTAGTTTATTAATTTTAATTTACAATTACCTACTTATCTAAACTCGAGTGAGCACTTAGGTACCTACTTGTTTTTAAACACTGCGAGCTATGGTTTTAGTTAACAATATTTTTCGTGTAGGTAGATGCATGTAGTATTGTTTTAAACACATACTAAATTATATAATTTGTATCAAGACATGTAGCAGCAATCAATTATAAACACTTATAATGGACGTGTATTGTATAGGCGATTCGGAGAGTTCCGACGATAAATCACGAAGGCCCGCGGCGGGCAAACGAAAACGACGGGCGAGCATCGACGAGGATGATGGTGATGAACCGATTGCACCAAAAACGAGAAAATGCCGCAGGAGCATCCGGCAAAGGCAATCGGTGGAGGTGTTGACGGCCAAAGACCGAAATTTGCGAAGGCTGGAGAGCAACGAGCGCGAACGATTACGCATGCACTCGTTGAACGATGCTTTCGAGGTGAGCACACCGCAGGTTATGACTATGCCCACCCGCGTACACATTAAATGTAATACGCGTACGCTGTGAAATCGATTATCCATATACACTTGAAAGTTGGCCGAAAAATAAAACGTTGTACTATATAATATTGTTTAGATCGAAAAAATAGCGAGTATTGTATATGGTTTGTAACATATTTTTCGGATTTATAAGACTGCTACGACACGATGCGTAACCGCGGCGATAATGTTCAAGTCCTATAAAACGCCAACCACACTGCAGTGATGGCAAATCGAATAACATTATGGTTATCTTCGGTTTTTTTTTTCATTCGAGTATATAATATTTTGAGCGTTCTTATTATTTTTCACCATCTGACACGGCGTGACCCATTTATGCTGTCTACCGTTAACTAAAATATATTCGAAAACGTGTATAGATTTACTTTTGTAGCTGTTACAGAGATGCATACAAGTCACGCAGCGATATAATAATGAACATTATAACACTGTAATGTCACAGTTTGATAATTGAACTACCATGACTCGAAACTAAAAGTCTCGAAGATTTGTATTTTGTGGTTGTTGCATAAGAGGAGTCTGTAGGTACTAATGCACTATTTATACTCGAATACTCTATACTATAAGTGATGCACTTTTTTTTTTACCATTTTTAGGTAAATTGTTAATATTTTCGATAACATATGATGGTAAAAGTAGCCACGAGGACACCTTTAGGAATACCTTATCTCCCCTTTTTCATAAGTGTATAACTATAGAGTATGTACGAATCATATTCTGGAAAATCTTTTTATAAGTATGTTTAAAAAAGAAGTGAAATGTGTGTGGCAGAGACATAATATTTTACTGTTAAAACCAGTTTGGTAGTAAAAAGGTTAATAATGATTGATATTGATTTTATTTATAAATAATTAGTAACATGTAAGTCAATTTGATACGGAAATCAGAAAATACCAATGTATATAACTGTTTTGAATATATTTTGATTAATTTATCTAAAAAACTAAATTCTAATTACATAATTATCGACATTTGTATTATCCTCAATAATAACAACTTAACATTTTATATCAACCAATATATTGTAATGTCATACATATTTTAGCCACATACCTATAAATATATTTAATTTGAGGAGGTTATTTTACATAACTATTTGGTAAAAGAAGAAGTAAGACTTAGAAGTTTACTAAAGAACTAAAAACTTATTTTAACTAATTGTATAAGAAAATATGATTAGTTGAAGTAACCATTTTTTTTAACTCAATAATACTAGAACCTTACCAAATCTAATTGTCTGGTAATAATTGGGTATTACTATAACTTATAATCCAGCTAATTGAAACCCATTATAAAAATGAATAATTTATAATTTAATTAAATTCTAAAGCCAACTATTTACATTAGGTTTAACGGAACTTAATTAGTATTGTAACGTGATTTGTAAGCACATAATATTATAACGTACCTACCTATTATAATATTATATAATAGTTTATAAATTTAATACAATCTCAAGCATTCGGCATTCTGTAAATGATTTCTCCGCATCAATTGGAAGATATTTGGTTCAAAACCACAGGTGTAATATGTAGCCTATATATTATGTCCTTAAGAAGTAAGTGTTAAACGTATAATTAATTACTCACGGTGCTGAATTAAATAGAGCAAACTGGGTCATTGCCTCCAATTTCAATCAATTTCCAATAATTTCAGGGACTCTGACAATATTTAAATACAGACCATGTAACGATTTTCAAATCTTAATAGCTTGGTGCCGGACATTGCAATTAGATCCTCAAATTTGTCTAAGGACTACACTGTTAGATGACATCATCATATTATCAATAATGATATTTTGCATCGAGTGACGGTTTATTTAATTGTGCTAACGCCGTGCTATCGAAGTTTTCACTTTTTAAATTTCACTAACTATGTAACCGATTCTATTAATATAATAATATTATCTATTGACTATTATGTATGGTTTAATACGTCTTAATTAGGTTATATTGCGTGTAACTTATTACTATACCGCATACGTGGTAACGTTTTGGACATTTCATGAAATTGTTTTTAAACTACTAAAAGTGAGGGCATGCTTTTTATTGCCTATGCGATAGTTTGAAGGAGTTAGACCATCGCCTGAAGATTACGTCGTGTTAACCTTACGAAATATTTTAAACATTTCTTTTTGTACTTAAATACCAAGGACTTAATGCTAGCATATGGTATAATCACACCAACTACGAAAATAAGTGTTTGCCTATTAGATTCGATTAATATTAAAATGTCAGAAAAATATAAGTAAGAAATATGATCAATTTTAATAGTATGACAAATCGCAGTTAGTTATATTATATAATCAACATAATATTTATGCATTGATAACAATATCATTGTACTTTTGGTTTTACAGAAATTGCGTGAAGTGGTGCCCCATGTAAAAATGGGACGTAAACTATCAAAGTTGGAAACATTGACATTGGCAAAAAACTACATAATGGCATTGACCAACGTCATTTGTGAAATGAGAGGAGAGCAAAAACCATTTACGTAAGAAAATCAAAACTTTTAATTACCTCATGTAGTCATATGAATAACGATGATGATAATATTCATTTCTCAATATGCTTCATTAAATTTTAGTAGTTCTAATATCGAAAAAATGTATAAGTCTAATTCGCATGTTTTTAATAATACATTAATATGGGTAAAGAGATGTATTGAGGTATTATAATTAAGAAAATATATTGTTCATCGTCCAAATAGATACTAAAAATAATTCAGTTAAAGATGATTTTTGTTCGTAATTAAAAGTTCAAACCAAATATGGTGTTATATTATTCAATATTTATGAAAAACAGTAAGTTCCTCCCACAGTTAGTTATCGTCCACTGGCATAACTCTTTAAACTTGCCTGGTTTTTTTTTTTTGAAAAGAATATGAATATTGCATAACAATATAATATTATAATATTCACACATTTTAATAGTATGAAAAATAAAACTTAAACAATATAATACATGTTTTGACATCTGATAAATGATAATACATCTTGTACATGACTTGCATTTCCAGGGAAATCATCTTTCGTTAAAAATATTTTAATTATTTGGATAAAAATAGTGTACGATGATAATTATGATTTTGTTGTTGTATACGTTTCAGTTTTGACGATCCCGATCAAGCCGAAGATGACTATGCATCAAGCAACGATGGTGGGTTTGAATCGGGTAATAGTACAAAAACTCCCTCAACTTTGGAACAAGAGTTACTATCATCAGACTAGTGAAAACCGTGCGCGAATAATCGCATTTCCTATATTATATTATGTAAACCAAACATGTTCTTTAGTGTGAAAACAAAACTTTTTTTCACCTAATAGGTATTAACGATGAGATTTATTTTTGTCTCGATATTTACCAGACATTATTGTTATTATTGTTATGATTGCTATGTATTTGTGGTTGTATTCAAGTACTATACGATTATTATTATTATAAAGTTTTAGTTAAGGATTATATTAATATTATTTTTAATACTTATAAAAATTATAAATACTTTTACCAATCCTACATGTACGTCAATCCTACTAAATATTACATTGAATAATTATTTAAGCACGTCACACACATACATTTTGTTGAATAAATGTTGATCTTAAACTAATTTAATAAACATTTTTTAAATCGAACATTTATATATGGTTAAATGTTTAATGTATGTATCATAAAGTTAAAGTTTATTCCATGTCATAAAAACGTAAGTGAATATTCCATACCTGATTTTCACTGAAGGTATCAAAATATTTTCTTTAAAAATAAATAAAATCACAGCATTTGAAAAATAATTCTGATCTAAGCTTGGTTTTACTAAATACGGTTGGCACTTGGGATTTGAATACTTGATTAAGGAGTGATTACGATTTTTGCCTTTGTTTTGTCATTTTTTTTTCTATATCTTAGAAAACAACTAAGAAAATATATTATCTAATTAAAGTTATTACCTATTTTCCAACTAAACACATTATTGTAATTTATATGATATAAACAATAAACATATAACGTTCTGCTTAGAATATTATTTTGTTTTTTTGAAAAAAATTCTGAAAAAAAATTAGAACAATAAGTATATGTGATGATGTGATGTTGAGGTTAAATACAGGAATTATAGGTAACTTGGGTACCTATAAAATGACCCATTAGTGACACTAGACTTGGGTTATTAATTATTATAATTTGTTTTTTACTATATTTATATTTTTTTTTATATTTATTGTTTTATTATTTGTTTAATAAATCACTACACCATTTTCTTTTTAGACGACACTGTGGTTCCAGCTATAAATTGAGGGTAATAACTATTTATTAGTGAAAGGCTGTAATGATTTCGGAGTCGGACAAACTGTTATAGAAGCGTTTATTAGGCTGCGTAGCTTCTTTCGTCACTTTTTATTTTAGAGCCTTTATGTAGATAATAATAACATGTAAAAAGAGTGGGGCATTTGTAATTATTTGAGAGCAATATTTTTGATTTATTGAACTTCATACGTGTTGTCAATTTTAGTAGTATAGGGGATATAGAATTCCACATTGGAGAAATTGGTTCAGTTTTAAAAACTGGAGATTCGAATTGGTCCTGTAAGTTCGTTAATTCTGAATAATAATCCTCAGAATCTAAAACCAAACAAATATTTAGGAGAGATTAGGTTTGGTGTGTATGTCTTATTTTTATGATTGCCTATCTATTTTTTATACCTCTACTATATAAATTTAAGAACAATTTTTTCAAATAATTTTTTCCTAAGTACTTAACACTCATTCCAACTCCAAAAAATATTTCTAAGATAACGTCTTACTCTTACGTAGTGGTTCCCAAGCACTCAGCCATATTGGAAAAACTTGGCACCCTTCAAAATTTCTAAAAATTCTGGTCACCTTACACCATCAAATTAGATTTTACAAAGTTTTTTTCTCGTTAGTTCTCATTCGTTAGATAAAACATTGGTCTTAGAAAATCGTAAACTACAAGGTGAATTTACATTTAAAGCACAAAGCAATTAATTTATACACTTTATATAAATAGGTAGTTACATAAGTTATAACCAAAGAGACCTTTATTGTGTTTTTAAATTTAAATTTAAATTTAAATACTTTCAACTCTAGTTTATTAAATACCTACCTATATTTAAATATTAAATATAAAATAATTATAATGTATACATTTTTGTTCTAGAAACTGTAGAAAATAAATGTGTAAATATGTTTTTGTTGTCCACAACATATTATTAGCACTCCTGCAGTTGTGTTTCAATTCCTTAACGGATAATTGCACCATTATTATGTAGGTATTATATATGTATTCGTTAAATATTTATCTTACATAACATTTCCATATATTTTTAAGAACATATTTTACGGTATTTGTTTCATAAAGACAAAACGCCTATCAGTTATCCATCATCGTAAGAGATTGAAACTACCTTAGGAAGTTCTAAACAAAAACAAAAATAATAATTATAGAAGCGATTTTGTTTTATAATCGTACAATATTTTGTAAAATATTATAACCGACTGCCAATGGCCAACCTTGAAATATAATCGTCGGGGATTCAACTCATCCCCTCACAACATGATTAGTCACATAACCATGTCAATGTCATATAGGTACATGTACATTCTAATGTATTTATCATATTTCTCTACGAATTTCCAATCATATTCATATATAATTGATAGTCTAAGACCTCAGTAAACCCTTTAACGCCTAACGTCAAGGTTTGCTGTTTCCGTCACGCAGAACATTGAAACAATAAATTCACGAACATTTATATTGTAAATTGTCGAACTGTAATTTAAGAGAAAATGTTATTGTTGTCGTAAAAATTAATAAAAAAAATTATTTTGAAAGCCTTTTTTTTTTTAAAAAAAATGTTAATATTAATCAACAATTTATAAAAGCTCATTCTACTATCGTGCTAAAACCCCGGTTTCTAAACTTATTTTAATTCAAAGCAATAAATTATTATAGTTTCAAAATATATAGTTTAAAAAGAATTTGGTAACCTTAATAAAATGTTGGTAGTACATTTTGGGCAGTTTGAATCTATATTAAATAATATTAATCACTATAAGCAATAAGTAATTATTACTAAAAATCAACAATTATCATAATTAAATAAAATTACACATAAAATCGTAACTATGTAAAGCAGGGACGGATCCAGCCCCCCAGAAGTATTATTTCCCAAATTTTTTTATTAATTCTACAGATCCTGATATTACTTTATTTCAAATAAGATATATGTCTGATATTGATATATAATATATTATTATACATATCATTCTATAGGGTGCACAAACTAAGATAGTTTTATCTTCGTTCATGGGGGATAGTGATTCCAGTATTGTAATTTTACATGCCCCCCTCCCCAGATCTTTGCTCTGGATCCGTGCCTGATGTAAAGTAACTACGAATAATAATGAATAAATAAATATCTTAACATCAACAATCGTAATTATGTACTAGTAACTAACAAACGAACGGACGGACGGACCCAATGAAGGTTGGAGATATAAGGCATAATAGGAGTTCTAAACTTTGTTTAGAAACTTAAAAAGGTTTCCTACCCATCCTAATTACTCCAAAATCAAAGATATACACCTAAAATCTGATATGTAATATATTATGGAATTTATTTATAAGATTACTATAATACCTATGTAAAAAAAACACAGGCGTTTTTAATTCACTGGCTAGATGTTGTAAACTATTCTCAATAAATTTGTCTACAAATTAGGGCCATGTGTTTTGACATGAAAATTATAAAAAAAATGTATGCTTTTTTGAGTATAATCGGTGAAAACTCTATTACATAATACCTTTAAACATCTTTTATATTGAGTAATACTTTTTCTTTTGCTGATCAATTTTGTAAAAACTATTGAGAACACAAGCGAAGAAACTTCATATTTTACAATCTGTATAGTGCGCACTTTGTACTTAAGATCCAAATCATAAGACACACCTTACGCGGAATAATTTTCAAAACATTTTGTGACATTAGAAGTTTCTACTTTTTTTCGATTTATGTTTAAGTAGATTTTTGATCGTTATTGAAAAATCTTGAAAATGGAGTACTAGTTTACTCATAAGAAGCTATTACGCGAATTAAATAATATCGCAAACACTAATAAATAACCAAGGTGTATAAAGTCAACATTTTTTGAAATTCGTCGGAATTGCAGAATTATGAATTATTTTTTCGTGTGCAATCATTGAGTTCGAATTTATGATGATGTCAGTGCACTATTTGTTTTTTCTCTTTGACCCACGTGCAACATTGAAACTTTGCCTTCAGTAGACCCAACCTTGTATTGTTAGTTTTAGTATTACAGTGCATTGATCTTTTATCAAACTTAAAGTTGTGAATAATATCTATTCTCACGTTGATTTTTTTATAATATTTCAATGTTTATACATGCGAGTTATGAGTAGGTAGGTTCCGTGAAATTTTACAATTAAAAAATACTCATATCTCCCTTTAATATTGAAATATAACTATAGATAAGAAAAAAAACTCAAGATAAGAACACCGATAATGTTTTTAGCTTCAAATTTGATAAAAGGTCAACGCACTTCAATACTAGAGCTGACAACACAAGGTTGGTTCTAGTGGACAGTGTTAGAGATAAATGATTTCGGTCACGTTCTGATTCTGGTACAATATTAAGCAGTTAATTGAAACGATTTGTGTGGGTCTCAGTATTAGCTATTGCACACTCATTGTGTTAATAATAAATTAATAAGTAAACAGTATGGAAAAAGCTGCTCAAACTGATTAACCTACTTCCTCACTGGCTACTTTAAATGCATTTTTTATGACTGTTATAGTTATTTTATAAATAATAGATCTACCTACAACTGTATCAGATAATTGTAACTTCTGCCTTCAAAATTCACATTAATTTTTTGGTAGAATAGTTCAAGGCACATTCATACCGATAAGGGCAAATATATTTCAGGACAAGGAATGTTGTAGGATCCCAGCATGCCAACCAATCAGTGGTTCAGTTGGGCACAAACGCCGTGATATGCTGCGAGTGGGTCGGAGAGAAAAACAAAATTGTACGTTCATATCATCTGAACACATAAAGTACGGCGAGCATTACAATAATGAGATGCACTTTTAACGACACTTACAAGTTACAAAATACATCAAAGCGACTCCCCTGGTTTTGGTTTTAAATATCTTTTGAGCGGTACAACGAGTAAAATAAAAACACTTCTCAAATATTTGTCATTGGTCTTTGTGAACTTGATTTTACTATTTTCTACACTTATGATGTATTGATATCTAAGTTTTATTAAAAACAAACCTCTTTTCATAAGACTTCAACCACTACGGCTCGATATGTGGTTCATTTACCACATTCAAATTTTACTAAAATTATCCTTTATCGCAGCCTACCTAGCGATTCGATTAAAACTAAAGGGTTTTGAATGTTTTGATATCAGATTACAAAATTCAAAAATAAAGACCACACATATGTTTGGAGATATCTATATGTATTAAATAATATTTGCATGGTAACTTATCACTGATGCCCATTATTATTCAAGTAGAAGAACAATTATAGACTCTTTACATACCGTATACCTATATTTGATTTTTTGTTACCAACTCATTAAAACTAAGAAAAAGTCAGGAAACGAACATCGTATTTTATAATAAACCTTGAATCGTAGGTACCTATAACATATTGTATTATAATTTGAAATGATATTTTTAGTATACGTCACGTGAATACTATTTCTCAATACATACAATGTGTCTTCTTCTTCTTATATTTATTTTTCCTTCACTGCCAACTAGATAAATGTGTCTTTTTCAAAATATCATAACTTTTAATAGGTTACCCAACATAATAGTATTATGTTGTAATGATATAAAAATATTTTAGGTATAATATTATAAG